TCTGGCTTGGCTACAGATGAGAGGCCCCCATGACACCCCCCTTGGATCTGATTATTTGGTAGAACAGTTCATGGAACACAGGAAAACAATGGCTGACGTTGCCTTTGGACTAAGCATGCGATAAAGGCTACTGATGAACAGCCAGATGAAGAGACACGTAGGGTCCGGTCAGAGGGCCCCAGCACGGGAGCTTGTACCCCTATGGGGTTGGGGGGTCATTCTCCCAGTGCTATTGGCATTCCATGAATCTTCCTCACAAAGGCAAGGTTGCCTATTAATTCCATTTCCAGCCTCTGTCTCCTCTCTGCAGGATGGGGGGCAGAGCTGAAATATTCCAAGCCCCTAATCATGGCTTGGTCTTTCTGGCGACCAAGCCCCACACAGGAGGCCACCAAGAGTCACCTCATGAGAACAAAAGATGTTCCTAGCGCTCTTATCACTCAGGAATTTACAAGGGTTGCAGGAGCTCTGTGCCAGGAGCTGGGGGCAGAGACCAATATCTATTTTCTGTATCATCTCGCAGCAATAGATGCCAGGCACTCTTCTCGTGCTAGAGGACGGGAGGGGCGACCCGGTCATGCTCTTGGGGAGCTTACATCCAAGGGAGGAGAGACAAGCAATAGAGAACTATGTAGGAGAATTTCCACAATAAATGCCATAAAGAAAATAAAACAGAAAGTGATGCGGGGGGCAGGGGCAGTAAAACATTAAAAGAAGAAACAACTGGGCTGATCCATGAATCATAGAAACAGCCAGCCATGTGGAGAACTGTGGGCAGAACCTACTTCCCAGGGTATTTCATAAGGACTCGGGGAGATAAAGTACGGAAAATCTTAGTCCAGCACCAGACACAACAAATGTAAGTTACTCAACAAATGTAGGCAGCCATTGTGATTCAGAGGGATTGGAAACGTTCCCAGAGTCAAGTCATAGGGAAAATGAGAGAGGGATGGTCCAGGGCATCGGGGTGGAAACTGAAGCCAGAGAGTTGACTGTGGAGCCCCAGCCACGGAGAGCAGATGGAACACAGGAGTGGTGGTGGGCTGTGAAGGAGACCACGGGGTACTGGAGAGCTCATGCCAGTCCAGGAGGAGCCAGGACATACTCCACTTCCTTCATTTACCCTGGTCCCTGGGACTTGCGTCTGGCAGCCTGGCCTGCACATGGCACCCCTTGCAGTTCGCTCTACCCGTTACCTCCCTTCTGACATCCGGGTTGTCTCTGCCCAGCCTATGCTGAGTTCTCGGGCAGGAGGTGGAAAAACAAATCAAAGGACATCTGTCTAGTTTCCCCGTTTGATAAAAAGATAAAGAAACTGGGACCCAGGGAGGCAATGAAATCTGGTGGAGAACACAGCCTTGGCTGAAGACCACACCTCCCCTCACCAAGAAGGCTGTCTTCTCACACCTTGGCTCTCTCTGTGTGTGTCTGCAGCTCGAAAGGCGGCATGCAAATGCCTTGTCATTCCTGAATGACATCGGGTTCTTTTCACCTGCAGGCTTTTGTAAGTACCGTTCATCTGCCTGAAATCAATCCTGCTCCTCTCTCCCACCATGACCCTCGTTCACCTGTCTGAGTCCTATTCATTGTGTCCCAACTTAGATATCACCTCCTCCAGGAAGCCTGCTCTGACACTCACAAGTTGGTGCCCCATCGATGTGCCCCCTGTGGCCTGACACGGCTGAGGGCATTCACCCACCACACTGTTCTATGATGACAGTATTGTACTTTAGTCTCTCCCACCAACTACGTTCCACGATGGTGGAGACTATGTCATATTCTGTTCTGTCCCGTGGACTCAGAGAGGCACTCGCTAAGTTGTCATTTACAGAGTCACGAACAGGACCAGAGCCCTGCCCTCCCCGAGCGCATGGTGTGGTAGGGAAGCTCGCTGCCTAGGACGTTTACTCCACAGTAGACTCACCCTGAGGGCCCGAGGCCTCTTACGGCTCGCATTCTCTCTTTTAGGAATGTCTACCCTCCTTCGTTGTCAACAACTCCATGTCAGATGAGATCTGGATAATGCCAATGCTCTCTGAGCCAGCCAGCTCCTCTCTGCAGACTGGGCACCCATCCATCTGATTTCTCCTCTCCACTGGCATGAGAGGTCCAAAGGTAGCCAGGAAATCGGCCTTGGGAATGTTCGTCCTTTCCAGGCCCTGGGGATTAGACCTAAAAATCTGGTCCAGGGAGACAAGCTAACAACCTATTCCCCTATTTACTCATGGGGATTCCTTGCTTTTGCTCAGCTACCTGTGCCCGCCTGTCTTTTCACTCTCATTTTCCCAGTTCTTCATCACCATTTGTAGGTTACCTTTTATTTTTGACGGCGATTCTCTGTATTGGCTGTGGGAAACATCTCTGGGGGTATACCACTTACTGGCATCCCTCATGCCTTGTCCCCTCACCAGTGCTGACTGAACCGGGATTGGGCGCCTGAGCCAACTGGAGCCAATCACCTTCTCTCACCCAGAAATCGGGGCTAAGAGAGTCTAGCTCAAGTCTAAGCTGGTCTCCTGAGTGGAGGTGATGTAAACTAAGCTGCTGCATGATGACCCTCTCTTACCTACTAAGTAGATTGGGTAGCACAGAAGGCGGGTCTTCAGAGAAAGAAGGAGCCAGAGATACTAGATTAAGACATCTGGGTTGGCTTTCTCCTTCCTGGCTGCAGCCCCTCTCTAAGGCCTAGTCATTTTCCTTCCCATTGGGACCTCTTCAACAGCCAGCAGTTACCCAGGGAGCACCTACTATGTGCCAAGCATGAGAGTCTAAGCGCTTGGTCTAAGTGACAGAAAAAAATAGACAAAATTTCTGCCCTCATAGAGCATACAATCCAGTTAATCCAATAACACAAAACTAAATATGTAATCACAAATTGGTTTAACTGCTATGAAAAAAATTCAGAGTGATTTAAAAATGTATGTGTCAGGAAGGCCTGACCTAGCCTAGGGGAGCAAGGAAGGCTTCCCTGAGGGGGTGACATTTGGATGACGTCATGAAACAGAGAGGCACCCGTGGGATGAGAAGAGGATTCCCAAACCAACCGTTACATCAGAGTCAGGGCTTCAGAACAGAAGGGACATCGCCATGAACAGAAATAGAAAATTACCCGTCACCAGGGAGGATCCTGCGCCCTTCACAGGTGGAGGGAGGGGAGTTCAAGTCCGCCTTAGCTACAGCTTAAGAGGGAAGAGGAGCCCTGACTAGTGCGGTTCAGTGGTTGGGTATCATCCCACAAAGCAAAAAGTTGCAGGTTCGATTCCCGGTCAGGGTACATGCCTGGGTTGCGGGTTTGGTCTGTAGTTCAGGTGTGTATAAGAGGCAACTGATTGCTGTTTTTCTCTCACATGGATGTGTCTCTTTCTCTCTTTCTCCCTCCCTTCCCTTCTCTAAAAATAAATAAATAAAATCATTTTTTTAAAAAGAGGCAAGATGATACTCGGGTCCATCTGATTTCATTGGTTTGGGTGGTACTTGGGCACTGGGGGTTTTTCACTCCTCAGGTGATTCGAACGTGCAGCTACAGTGGGCAACCACTGACCTGGGACCGCGGTGAGAGCTGACGCGGAAACCACGGCCCGCAGCATCCCACTCCTCCAGTCACATAATGGGCCGCCGTCACCGACCAGCCCACTCCTGTGACCAAGTCGTCCACACTCTGTCTCAGCATTAATGAGACCTCTGCCAGCTGTCACGCTGGGAGTTTAGACTAAAAAATAAATACATAAGGAGAAGGAAGACAGCTGGCCTGGGGTAGAGCTTACTGAATGGAGAACAGTTCTCCTTAGCCACCTAGACTCAGTGGCAGAATAGCAGGAATTGGGGAGGCAGAAGGCCCAGCAAGGGCACCCCTGAGGTCATGCAGGAGAGCCAGAGAGAGGTGTGGAGCCAGGGGCTGCGGCAGTGGTGTGCTGGAAAATGTTTCACAACCCACTCTCAGGAAGAAGCCCTGGTGTGTTGCGCTTGCCCATTTCCGAGGTGTAAAGATTTCCACCACAGCCTATTTCAAGTTACCAATGTGACATCACCAAAAGCGGAGCTGGGAAGAGATGTGCACAACTGGCACTTGTGAGCTAGTGTGAATCGGCTCCAGCACACCCCTGTCCGCGGGACATAACCTGAATGAGTCCTGTAGGCTGGGGTCTTCCAGGAGCTGTGGGAATGGAGCAGTCACCCTTACTCTTTGCCATAAGTAAGAAACAGCACTTTCTGTCCTTTAACACTCTAAAGGTGATAAGGGAAAGATGCTTTGTCCTCTAGTTTCCCTGTCTTCCAAGGAGGGTGAACCTCAAAGAAGATGTCTTTGGGTAGCAGGAGAAACTACCAAAAGGGGTGGGAGAATATTTGGGTAGGATGCTTGTGTTGAAAAATGAACTTTGGAGAAAGAACGGAGATGCTTACAAGGGAAATTTTTTTTAAGTTTTGCTATGTGGTGTGCAATATTATTATTTAGATTTCCCTAAGAAGTCCTCTGAAAAGTCAGCATTTGTCACCAAAACTTTTGGGGTTTGATTGGATTTGAAGGAGGGATCCAGTAAAGTGCTGAGTTTGGTCTCAAGGCCAGTACAGTGTGAGAGAAGCATAAGCCCAAAGGGTCATAGTTGCATGCAGACTAGATGGGAAATCGCAGTAATAACACAACAATGCAACAACCCCACTTGCTATGCACCAGCATCGTGCCTGGCGCTGCTCAACTCGCTGCACGAACACTAACCCCTTTATTCTCACAGCAGCCCCATGTGGTAGGAACTACACCGATTAGCAACTATCTGAACCCAGATGGGCTGGTTCCAGAGCCATTGGGCATGATTAATTATTACACTCTTTTAGTGTCGTGTATGGGACACGGTGTGTCTTTTTAGATCAACGGTATATATTTCAATATGGAACACCTTAGACCGTTGCAGTCAGGATGCTTAATCTATAATTCAGATATTTCCAGGAGAGCTGGAAACCCGATCGCCTTGCGGTCAGCTGTGTGAAGTGAATGGAAGCCTTACCTGGAACGGGGGTTCGGGCCTGTGCCGGGGAGTTGGGCATTTTCTGTCTGAGGCTCCTGAAATCAGGACGGAAGTGCCTCCTACACCGGCTGCACACAGTTACCCTGAAAACCTGAAAAGTCAACAGCACTCTCTTAATTTTGACAAAATAGAGAGCGCCTTCAAGTTTAAGTAAATGTAACCATACTTCCATTAACTTTAATCGTAATAATTAATAAATTAACTGGTCCCTTGAGCCTTAGCATTTGAAAGGCCAGGCACACTCTGCATGGCTAGGGGACTGTCAGTTCATTGCAGAAGTGCCCGCACTGCTTCCACAGGCTCCCCGTCTAGACTTTCCCGGCCCCACCACGCCCCCTCAGCCCTGGAGACTCCATGTCAGCTCCCCGGGACCTTCAGTGTCTGCGAGGACCCTGATCGCAGCTCAGGTGCAAATGGTTAGTTACGATCTTCCATGGGAGTGTGCTGGCTCAGAAACAAAAAGTGAAGGTAATGGCAGAATTTCAGGCCAGTACGAGAGATCGGGGCGGGGCCTTCCGATTCCCCTGAATCACATCCCATAGGAGGCTCCTTCCTTGCTCCTCCTGCAGGAGGACTGGGCTGGGTTGGGGACATTTCTTTAGGAAACCACAGGGCACGTTTCATAAAGGAGGAGATAGAACCTGGCTAGAGTGTCCTCCGTGGCCTCTTGCGCCCTGGTCCCTGTTTTCCGTCCTCCCCTGAGGAGATGCAGAGATGAGTTTGGACCGTCACCCCAGATAACTCGTGCTATCAAGTTACATTTCATCTGGCAACCCCGGCAGCTGGGTGAGCCAGCACAGAGGGAGGCAGCAGGTGGGGGAGTGGGGAGAAGCCACAGGGGAGAGAGCAGAAGGAAAAAACGGCGATGACACCAGGAGCTTCTGGGGGCAAAGACCTGGAAATCTGGACCCAGCGGGTCCAGCCTCCGAGCCAGTGTTCTGAAGGCCAAGGGCACTGCCAACAGCCCTATGCGAATCTCCAGAATTTCCTAATTGCCTTGGCCACAGGCCACCACAGCTCATATCTCTAGGCATTTCACTGTTTATAGAGCCCTTCCCAGACAGAATGCCTTGCAACGGTCATGGGACAAGGGAGACTGATGTTAATATCCCCATTTTACAGATGAGTAAACTGAGGCTGAGAAATCCAGTGATTCACTCAAGGTTGTGCAGTGAGTGAGAAGGGAGACTGGGACTTCACTCGAATTCCACTCATTTTAAAGCCAGTCCTCTACCACCTGCCCCACTATCTTCACTAGCTCCACTATCATGGTCGACCGACTACCCAAAATTCTCTTTGGTGCCAGTGAGTTGATATCCTCTCAGCAATCTACTGTAACAAATACATGGTACCAGGCAATGTCATAGGATATAAGGAGATGGGAAAAATTGGCCTGTCCCCTCAGACTACTCACAAGCTTGAGCAATTTTGGCCTGTGTGTTTTCAAACTCAACCACGAAGTCCACTCTCCTGAAAAACTCTATCCTACAGTCACTCATTCAACAGACATTTACTGAGCACCTGCTCTGTGCCGGGCCCTGTCCTAGTTACCGAGGTTACAATGAGGATGGGACAGGTAAGGCTCTTGCTCTCATACAGCTCATACTCTAAAAGCAGGAGACAAGAAACCAGCAAAACAAATTAGCAAGTGTGTGCTGAAACTAAAACAGATGCAAACAGAGCTTCTCTTGGGCAAAAACAAGCTCAGATCATGTGAATGTCAAACTGAGCTTCAAAAATTAGTCTACAGTCTTCTAAATTAAAAGCAAGAGTTCTCTATTTACCAGATCGTATAAAAACAAACCCCTTTATTAGAAACCCATGGAAAACATCACGTGACGGCCCAGACAAAATTCAAGCTGGGACGGACTGTTGCAAGACCTAAGGAGAGAGGCTGTTGCTAATAAACCACAGCTCCATCTTCAAGGCCGTCGGGATGCAGAGCCTGAGAAAAGGGCAGACTCGCTCAACGCTGGAACGATCCAGGAAGATGACATTATTGTTATGACTTCAGGGTCGAATTGGAGACTCTTGTAAACCAAAATTAAATTACACTTTCAGTATCACAAACAAGGAATTCAGCTTCCAGGCTGTCAATATGTGTTAGTTCACATGTGGCTTTTATATTTCAAAAGATAATACCAACTGAAGCCAGCCCACCCCCGACCCCCACCCCATGGAGGCTGTTCTCTTTTTGAACTTGATGCATTTGACATCCACTGGGCTTGTTTGGCAATTAACCACGCACTGTCTGTGAACCCAGATTATTGCCTTGCGTTCTTCCTTATCTCTTTCACTGTCGAACTTTTCATGCAATGATGACTCATCTACCACTGGGTTACAGGGATCACCTCTCGCCCTTGCGCTGTTTTAACCTTGCACTAGAATACAGCCTGCATTTAGTCCACAACCTGTTGAATGCCTACTAAGTGCTGGGCACTGCATTAGACACTGGGAAGGTAGCCTTCTTGCAGATTTCAGTCTACAGAAAGAGACAGACATTAGTTCCCACTCAAAGTAGCCTATAGTTACACAGTACAGATGGAGACCAGTGCAATGAAGGGAAAGAATGAAATTCCGTGAGAATGAAATCACATTTGGGAAACCAGACCTGGACTGGAAGGAAGGAAAGGATTTCCTAAGAGAGTGGACCCGGAGCTGAGCTGGGAAGCAAAAAAGAAATGTGCAAAGGCCTGGGGGGGAGGCGGGGAACTCGAGTCAGTATGCGCCCTGTGCAAGAGTCTGCTCTGTAACTGGGCCCTGGGCGCCGGCAGAGAGAGCAAAGGGGGATACGGGAGGGCGAGACAAGAGACTGAGGCAGGTTCTCATATACCCACCTTTGATTTATGCAACTTGATGTATTGTGTATTTGTATACTCATATATACCATAAATTTCACGTACATTGTAAAGCAGACAAATAGAGAAAAATGTTTAAAGGTGTTACCAACAAAAGAAATAGTTTTTAAAGTCTCGTTTTGACAAAATGCTGATAATTGTTGGAGCCGAGTGGCAGGCACATGGGATGTCAACACTGCATTTTCTATTCTGCGCATGTTTGAAGACGATGACGACTGCATGCTATCACTAGTGAACGCCTCCGTGCTATCACTAGTTAACACCTTGAAGCACGAGACACACTTTGGGTGAGGTTTGTCACCAACAGCAGATGTTTGTCCCTATTTCAGCTGATATTTTTGATCACTCCAACTCTGGGGTCCAGCCTAGTGTCAGAATAGACTAGAGCATCATTGTCTTTACTCATCCGAGGAGGTACCACAGCTCAGCTGGTCGCGTATGGCTCCCTCTCACTGGCCCGTAGTGTCCCTTCCTCCTCCTGAGCCAATTCCCCCAACTAGAGAGATTAAGTTGTTCTAAACTACAGAAGGACAATGACTGTATCATTTAAGATTTTTTTAAATCTCTAATTTACTAAGCAGGTACATGTGCCAGGCACTTGAGAAAGCACTTTACAGGCAAAATCTCATTTATTCATTCCTTACCATAACTCCATGAGGTAGGTAACTGTGGTTTCTGCCTGCATTTTACAGGTGAGCAAAGAACAGAGAGGTCAAATACTTGTGTAAGGTCACATGGCATGAATGATGGCATGAAGGCTGTTTTCAAGATAGCAGGGAACAAAGGACACTACACCAATAACCAAGAGACTTGAATTTGAAGTCTACCTTTGCCTGTCACTGTCTCTGTGATCTTGGGCAACCTCACAGCCTTAGCTTCTTCCTCGTTAAGTGAGGAACGAGATGACCTCCAGAGCTCCTCCCAGCCCCGACAGCCCATGAATCCACTGAGACAGAATCTTCCATCCACCAATCCTCCCATCTAACCACACATTTTCTCTCGAACCCAGCTTACTTAGCCACTCCATGCTCTCTGAACAGACACTGCTCTCGGGGGGCAACCAGGTGTTACAGTGGTTGTCTTCCTTTAATTCTTAAAACTGAAAAAGTTGCTCTGGTGCTGATAAGGTCAATGTCTGGGTATTCAAAGACTTGGGTAGGGAAAAGAAGCATTGACCTGCTGCGTGGACAGGGTAGCTGGAAGGCATGCTGGCGTGTTATGTACGGCACTGTGTTGCCGTAACCAAGGCCTGGGAGGCTTAGTGCTTCAGCTGTTCTATCAGCTGGGAACTATTCGTGTTTCTCAATTCTCACGGTTGCTCTGCCTGAGGCAGAATTATTTTCCACCAAGACATATGACAGGTGGCCTTGGGTGCCCACTTAGCACCCAGGGCAGCCACAATGACCAGGCCTTGCTGCAGGCAACTTTTCAGAAGAAGAAATGCCTTCTTTTATAAGCTAGAGGACTCTTCCTCTGAAACCTGCTTCTTCTCGATTCACCTCTAGTCCGCTTTGATCATTCCATTAATAAATGACACCCAGCTCTGGCCATGGGCTCGCAAATCTCAGCTCTGGTTCACATCGTCTTGGTTAAGTCATCTAACGCCTCTAAGCCTCAGCCTCCTCACCTGGAAAATTGAGAGTACAGTACCTTTCAGCATCATTGCAAATGTTAAATAAGAGATCACTCATATGGGAACGTGTCTAGCCTGCTCCCACATAAGTAAAGGGTCTGCATACTTTAAGAAGTGAATAAACATCTGTTAAATCTGAGCCATGCGCTAAGTCGCAATGCCTCGACGGGGAAAGTCACAGATTTAGTGTCACTCCAAGAAAGTGACTTTGGAATTCTGCAACCTTCAAAAGTAATGAGAAGTGTAATTCCATTTATTCATGCAAGTCTTTACTGAGTGCCTACTATACACGAGGCATTGTTCTACATAGCAGGCATTGTTCTAGACACGGAGGAAAAAGACAAATAAGACACACAGGAACTTGCTCCCATGGAACTCACTTAGGGTAAGCTATTTGAACTTTTCAAGAGTTTAAAGTCACTCAGCCTGGCCTCAGGGAGGGCAGCCACAAACTCCCGCGATACTTTTACTGACGGCCCTGCCAGTGTGCCCTTTCCAGGGCTGGAAGGACTGGGGCTCCAACTCCAGGTGACATTTCCTATGTCCTCAGCTAGCCCCTCTCACCTGAGTGGACAGTGAAACAGCCCCTCTCTCCTTAAATATGTTCCTTAATGCAAAATTTGTTGCAGATTTGTTGTTCTACTTGCTCAGTCATTTTGAATGCAATGGCCACACAGCACACATGCTCACTCAACAGTGTGTACTAAACATCCCCCACTGACTAGTACAATGAAGTCATCAGTGTTCATTAATGTGCATTCCAGTTCCTTGGAACATAATATATGTTCCAAGACATGACTAAATGATCAATGAGTAAAGAGTTCCTCGTCCACACAAGTTCAAAAAGCAATGGATTGAACCAAGTTCAGTAGATTTCTTTGCTGCAGGCCTTCTTAGAGTCTTGAGTGAGCCAAGGTACTTGCCAATCTCAGAGAGGACTATAGTGTGAAGCCTTGGACCGAAGTGCTCCTTTGCCCATGGAACACTTTTTATTCTGGAGTATATGGTAAATCTGGCCTTCCCCAGCACACATTTTCAGACATGCTGGACTCTTGGGAAAAGTCAGGAGTCCCAGGTTCGGGACCCAGTATGCCACCGCCTCGCTCTGTGACCTCAGGCAGGTCAAGTGACCTCCCTAGATCTTAGTTTCCTCATCTAGGACATGTGTGCATGCTGTTGAGGTGGGGTAGGAGAATGATGAAG